AAATGGAAAAAGTGAGAAGTACTAGAAAATTAATGAAAAGAAAAAGAAAGAAAGAAAAAAAGAAAAGAAATAATGCAAACCAAAAGAAAGAGGAAACAACGAAAGAAAACGAAACAGAGGGAAAAAATGGTTAAAAGAAAGCATTAGCATACGAACAAACAAAAGGAAACGGAAATAAGAAGCAGAAGGAAGAGATAAAAAGGAAAGGAATTGGCAGATAAAATGGCTAACAAATGAATGAAAGATATTTTGATTTTGATATATAATATACAGTTGTACATATTTGAAAAGGCATAGGAACTATGCCTAGTTGTTTTACACAGTGGTATCAATCAAAGTACATTATCATATATATGGAAGTAATTTACAGAATATTGATAAAAACATAGATCATGAATTTCATGGAGTACAATGAAATAAATATATACATTACTCATTTTACAAGATGTATCATGAAAATATAACTATCTGTTACAGGCGAATGAACTGCACTTTTTAAGGATATTTTGAAGTTTGTCATTTCAATGAAACCTGCACACCTTACATTCAGGGTACTCAACTCTGTAGGAAATATTACATTTGTATCTCAACCGTAACGTAGCTTCTACCACATTCATTTTTCTTGTTACCTTATTATTTATTCCGCAAATAATCCATCTTAGGAGATATCCTCGTATTCCCATCTTATTGAGTTCGTGCAAGATGATATGACGACTGACAGGATCAAATGCTGATTTCATCCTTTCAAAAGTTTTGCATAAAAAAAACTGGGGAGGGAAATCGGTCTATATTCAGTCAAACTGTTAGGCTTTGGTATTGGTATTATGGTACTCTCTGTACAAGAGTTTGACAGTAATAATGCAAGTGTAGGATCGCCAGGTACATTTCTCAGCAACCTAATTACATCATAAGTGACGCCATCCTTCCCAGGAGCAGTGGATTTTCCTTTTGAAAGAGCTGCATCAAGCTCCAGCTGAGTGAACAGCACATCGCAATCATCACTTTGCTTTATCATCTCTTCAATCATATCCCTTCTCTCAGAGTAAGAGGCATTTAGACTTGAAATTGATTCTTCACTTAGTGACTCGTGACTCGACATTTTGGCATATTTAATAATAAGCTTTTGTTTACAGGTCTGGATGTGCAACTCTAGACGTCTTTCGATTTTTCATTCTATTTATTCCCTTCCATGTCTTTCCTATTGGTATTGAATTATTCAGTGAGTTAGCAAAAAAATCCCATTTTCCTTTTTGTAATACAGAAATCCTTTCCCTGACCTTCAGAAGAGCTTGCAGGAAAAGCTTGAGCATGGCGGGTGTTCTGTTCTCCCTGCGTGACTTGTAGATGGTGACCTCGGGTTATAATCTTTGTACCAATCAGAAATGTTGGTATCAAAATCAAATACCAAGTTCTCTGGAATCATTCTTCTTCTCCTTTGAAACTTGTAGGCTGTGATCAGAGTATAAGGGATTCTGATTTCAGACAGTAAACCAAATATATGTGTTGGTTCATTATCACCAATCAGTTGCACACGATCATGGGAAGCTAAAAGGTGAAGAAATGTAGTCCCTTTTCTGTTTGATCTTACAGGGTCATTATATCTGACATGCCTAGTATTAAAGTCACCAACGATAACCGTATATTATAGGACGAGGCCTCGCATGAACTTTGATATCGATCTCCATACTTATATAGTGGAATTTAGCGCCTCTATCAATAGAAATACCTTGTGGTATTCTATGACATAATGGGAATTATTTACATAGAAAAAATATGCAAGATCCATAACTGATAATGATATTTTTTTTTTATCATTACTATTAGTAGTATTAGTAATAGTATTTTTATTATTATTATTATTATTATTATTATTATTAGTATTAGTATTATTATTATTATTGTTATCATCATCATCATCACCTATATCAATATTATTATTGTTATTGTTAATCCTAGTATGTATTCATTTTAAATTTTGTTATTACTGTTATTCTTGTTATTATTCTCATTATTATCATTGTGATTATCACCATTATTATTACTATTCTTATTATAATAATAATGATAGTTATTATTGCTATTATTATCACTATGATGATAATAGTAATGATAATAATAATGATAATAGCGATGACGATGGTGATGATAATGATAATAATAATAATAATAATAATTGCTACGCAACTACTACTGTTATTATTGTTATTGTTATTACCATTATTATTATAACTTTTATTATTATTATTATTATTATTATTATTATTATTATTATTATCGTCATTATTACTTTGTTGTTATTTTTATTATTATTATCATCACCGTCATTATAGTTTCTATTATCTTTATTACTATTATTATTTGAAAATTTGAAACTGAAATAGTTTTATCAGGTATAGGCAGGTTGCAAGTGTTGTCTTATGAAATGTTTGCTGTCTGACCAGACTTCTTGGTGTTTTTGAGCATCTTAAAGTTTACGTAAAAATACACATATATATCTGTGATACATAAGATGCTGCTTTCTTTGTATGACTATGAGATGATTTCGTGATATGGTACTGGCTCCACCCCACACTGTCAAGCAGCGAGTCAAATAAAGTATGACATAAATTTTAGCTATTTTGTTTCGTACATACAGAATATGTCTATGCGAGTACAGGTATTTATTCACAATAATTCACAAGAATTTAGTTTGCTCTACTTCTCCTATAGTATGGTTGTTGATGACAATCCCCATAAGCGAGTAGGAGACTGCTTTTTGTCTGTTGACGATGATGTTGGTGTTGATGGTCATTGTCTTTGAAATTGCCCAGTTGTTAATGGTCACATTCTACTTATTAGACTGCTAATATTTCTTTCAAAGACGTATATGGTGCAGGGAACATGGGCGGATGAGAATGTGACATGAGATAGGGGTGCGTAAGGCGGGTGTGGCCCGTAAGCAAGCGGTCGAAAGCCGTCTGCTCTGATGAAATGGAGCTGACCAGATTTATAGTATGTAATTTACAGTATGTAATTTATTAGTGCGTAGACTTCGAAGACTTGGTGCGCAGACAGGTAGAACAACCAGCCCTGAATCTTACAGACAAAGAGGTTGCTTGAGTGCATAGACATTCTGAGAGATAATGAGTTACAGAGGTCGGTACAAATAGTGAAAGAGGAGGAAGGGAGTATATGCGTTTTAAGGCAAAAAGGAATGTTTACAATTCTGCAGAAAGGACCCTGGACTCTGGATTTGGAGCCATCATTG